GTCACCTTTCCTCTTCAACTTCGCTATTGATGAAGTCATGGACACAGCGTTCGCTGGACACGACCTAGAAGGTGTGGAGCTACTTCCTGGTGAGCGACTTCTTGACTTGGAGTATGCGGACGATATTGCCCTAATCTGTGACAGCTCCCAAACATGTCAAGCGGCACTGGACCGATTAGCACTGGCTGTCAATCGTTTTGGACTATGCTTTGCTCCATCAAAATGCAAAGTACTTCTCCAAGATTGGCAGGGACCCAACCCTGCACTAACACTTGGTGGTGAGCTGCTAGAAGTCGTTCAGGAATTCAAATACCTTGGCAGCTATATTAGCACCAGTGGGAGTGAAGATGAGGTTACGAACCGTATAGCAAAGCTCGAGGTGCTTTTGCCAATCTCCGCCACCTGTGGTGCAGACGCGACATTATTCTCGCCCTGAAAGGCAGGGTTTACAACGCATCCGTCCGTTCAACTCTCCTATATGGTTGTGAAACCTGGCTCATCAGGTCGACAGACATGAAGAGGCTCGTCACATTCGATCATCGCTGCCTTCGCAGCTTAGCTCATGTCTGGTGGGAGCACCGCGTGTTCGATGTTGCGTATTTGGTGCAGGAAGAGCGAGTAAACCGCTCAGCACCATTATATCACGCACCAGGCTCCGATGGCTGGGCCACGTGTTGCGCATGCCAGCACACCGACTCCCACGACGTGCATTGTTTGCGCGTTGGGGCTGCGGTTGAAAGAAGAGGAGGGGAGGCGATGTGATGACTTGGTTGAGAGAAATGAAAACCCTCACTTCGAAGTTGGCGTCGGTTGGTGCATCCCGACTGCCTGGCTGGGGTCCTAAGGACGGTGAACACGTTTGGTTGGACACACTCGCTGATATGGCTAGGAGCCGACCCCAATGGCGTTTGTGTTGTGAGTTCCTTTGTCCATCCCCCTCCTGCTTAACATCCCTCTCCAATCATGATCTCACTTGATAGGTATACTATGACGCTCTTTTACGGCAGCCAGCTGTTAGCTCTCCGGAACGATGTCCATCCGTTACTGGCGCCTCAGCGGGTGTGCCACTGTTTTTTCTCCTTTTCTTGTCTTTTGTATTGCGGCACAATAGCTTAGGAGTTTTCCACCTCTAGCTAACGTGTAATGATGATGATGATGAAGATAGCACTGAATAACTTGCGTTGGCCTGTGCACCTGCTGTTTATGCCTGGTCAGCTTACCTAGGGGGGCCTTGTTTAGTCTACCAGGTGTAGAGTTGCGCAAAGCTCGAGGTGGACAGTTGGCTTGACAGCGGAAAATGAAGTCACTGACGACCAAACTGAGTGCCGTTGGTCCGTCTCGCCTTCCAGGCTGGAGTCCACGTGAATTGCCTTGTGCTTAGCTCGGGACTTTACAGGACATGGCTGGCAACGGACACCAATGGCACGTCTGCTGCCGTCTCCTAATCGGATTGCCAGTTTAAAATGTGTTTGGTGCTGATTTATCTGCTTGTTACTGGCTGATTCTGACGTGGAGCAGGGAAAGTCTCAAGGAACCTGTCTCGCCAATGTCGCCTTACCTTTGCACAATAGTCAGCTGTTTGTGACGGTATGTTGTCTACACAAAGTGTAGGCGCCTTGATTCTGAATGTTTTCTTAGGGCATTAAGGTTTTCAGGTAAGTCCCCTTCTCTCCCTCTTATTAATCTCTATTTCGTAGGTCCTCATGGTTGTATGGCAGCGAAGCATTAGTTCAAATGGCTGATGTACTGCTGTTGTTGCTGACGATGATGTTGTATGTAAATCTTAGCACGAACCAATGCGTGATCCTAGTCTAGATAAGTTGACCAGTACGATCGGTAGTTCGTTACACTTCTGCACCATCTGTAGCTGATTGCTATGTGGTCAAGCTGGGGGCACTCTTGCGTTTGTGAGGACGAGCGCCAGGTAGCAGTGTGTCTCCTAGACTGCCGAAAACTAGTGCTCAAAAGAAACAAGCGATGCTCAGAGCAAAGAGCAAGCGGTCTGTCCCGGTTGTCTGATCGACTTCCACCGAGACTGAAACTACCGCCAAGGTGGTGTTCGCTTGGTGGCAAGGGACCCACCCATACGTTAAAGTCGCCGGCAAGAATGACTATGTTAGTCCTTTTAGAGGAACGCGGAAGTTCGTGTAGCTGCTGATAAAAGCTATCCTTGATTGCATCCGGGCTGCAGTCTCTAGAGACGTAGACAGAAGACAAACAAGACACGCTAAACGTCTTGACGCTTGCTTACATTACATGAACCACTTAATCGGACTGCGCGTAGCCGATTATTGACTGGGTTCCAGTCAAGCAGACTTGATTCAGCTCTGGCACACAGTGCAACTCTACCACCAGCTTGGCCAGAGGCGACAGCTTCTGTGCTTCCGGAAAACCGCAAGTGATATTCGGCGTCAGGGTTTACCGGTGAAGCCATTCTGATGATGGTGCTAGAGTCTTGTAATCTTATCTCTGATAGGCAACAGATGTTTACGGATAGCGTTGTAAGCTGACTTGATGCACTGGTAGCTCGGGTCGATCGTTCCTGAGTTCACTTGTTCGCCGAGCTTCGGAGTTGGGATGCAAACGTTTCATCATCAAGCGAGGTGACTTCGTCATTACGCTGCTGGGTCAGCGGATTAGATTGGACCCAGCAGCGCAATGACGAAGTCACCTCGCTTGATGATGAAACGTTTGCATCCCAACTCCGAAGCTCGGCGAACAAGTGAACTCAGGAGCGTTGCAAGAGTACGGGCCAGACATGCTTGTCGTCCGAACTGCATCAAACTTCGAGCATTAAACTCTAGTAGGATGAATGGATAACCAAGTCGAAGACGAACTGGAGGTTCGGACTGAGAGGCGTTTGCGATCGCAGGACATTGAAAGCCGGGAGTTTGGCTGTTATTTCTATCAGTTGCGAGATGTGGATCGTTTGTGACGGTAACCAAGGAAGACATAAGAGTACATATAGGTGAAGGACGGGAGGTGGGGTGATCTGTGAGTGGAGGTTGAGGAACTTAGTTAGCAGAGCTGATAAGTATAGCGAGAGCAGAGCTAACCACTGTGGTCCATGATTCGTCAGTCGTCGTGATACTAACCGGTTGCCCAGGCCGAAGTAGAGGATTGTCTTAGGGGGCCCCAACCGGAGCCTTTGATCAAATATCTAACCTACAAGGCAGCAGGGCGATGTGAGGGCATCGCAACCCGTTAGAAACCGGTGACCAAATAGATGGTTCGTGCGCCTTTTGGTCCGTGAAGGATCAGGGGCCCAACGCACCCCTGTAGTACAATACCTCAGGGAGGGCAAGGGGCAGTGACTTTATTTAGTGGCGAGTCACATCCGCTACGTAGCAGTGTAGTTACACAGACATTTGTGGTTTTTTCTAGGGAGAACGCTTGCTAGGCGAAAACCCACCACGTTTTCTAACACTGCCGCCGAACCATTTGCTGGAACGGGAAAAAAATCCGAATCATCCGGCTGGCACCACGAGAACATTGTTCGGCAAGTCAATCCTTGGCTCAGGTGTGTACCAATAAGCTTCTCAGGAGTATGCGCTTCTTCATCTGTGCTTTTGGTACCTACTGGTGCCTGATTGGTCACTTGCACATTCAGTGGATGATTGCTGGTGGTGCTTGCAGAGCTCGATGCGGGTGTGCGCCAACCATTTGCCTCTTGGCTTACCAATCTGCTTCCGGCTACATGCTAACTCTATCGGGCTGGACTGCACCTGTCTAGTACTGCGCGAGATTCCCGGTGACGTTCGATTGGCCATCTGCTTATCGGTACCCCGCAACCTGGAGGCCCAGGAAACCGAGTTTGTCTGACCTCTAACCATTGATCAACGTGGTCAGTGTAGCTCTCAAAGACCCGATGGTATCACCCAGTATAGCTCCATGGGTCAAAGGGGTACGCAAACCGTCGCATCACTTTAAAGTTCAGTCTCGCTGCGACAGACTCAGATAACTTGTCTTGATAATGATGTTATCTGTACCTAACCTGGGTCTGTATACGCACCTATCTAACAGCACACTAGAACGGGCCGTAGTTGTTCACTCGCCTTTACGGATTAGCACTGTATGATATCCTGGCTTATTTAGAACACCTGCCTATGGTACAGCACAGTTTGTGCATTTCAGTAAACCCCCATCTGCGCTTTATCATGTTTTGGTTTGGTTGGTAATATAACAATTTGGCTTCTGACGATATTTCACGATCCCTCAGAGTCCTTATGGTATATTTGCTACCAGTAGCTTTTCTGTTTTCCGTCTCTTAGTTCGTCCCGCTTTACCATCCACTCACTCAGCGCGTTATAATAATTTGCTTTTTAAATTTTCTAAGCACTGCGTTCCCTTTATCATTCTAAACAATGCGATGGGAAGACGGGCGTCGCAAGATGATAGCATTACATGCTCCCTGATCACGTGCATACACGCAACATACCAAACGATCACTGAGGCAAAGAATCATTTAAATGCTGACAGAAAGTGGGAGTGGGCACAACACCTCAACTACTGTAACAGAATCAAAAGTGATAAAACAAGCACCACGGTCCCCACGAATGCCTCAGTGTGGCAAAGAACTGTTTTTGTACACAGAGGTCAGGACTATTGCGATCGTTGGCCACAGCCTCGGCGATCTTGGACATTTTGGCGTTTGTATTTCGGTCGATAACCCTAAACACCACGTCCGGGTCAACTTGATGACCCGTATTCAGTAAGTGGTTAGCAACCGATGGTGCTTGCATTTTGGAACTTGACGCCTGCCTTCATGTTTGACCTCTTGTAATGACATTAACCCACTTTGGAATATGCCGTCCGATCCGCTTATGTAGGAATATTTTCCTTTTTATTCGCATTCCATCCCTGAGAATATGTATTGGCCTCTTATACCAGGCAAGCACATATTCGCATCGGTGGGCTCATCAGTATAGCTCCAAATCATAACGAACCACTGCATTGTATTACACACACCACCTTTGTCTCCTTCTCTTTCTCTGCTTTAGCTTTGACCACGTATCCTCCTTGGATGAAATGGTCGATTTCGTCGGAACGACAGCAGATCTTGTAGCTATTAGTATCCCAAGTGACAGCGATGAGTCCACGATACATGCCATTTTCGTCGGCAGACAACGGATCTCAATCAGCAAAGTCACTCGTGACGACTCCTTGTGAGTTTCTCTGCATTACGTATGTTTACAGATTACACTGTTCCATGTGCGGTTTTCGGCGCTTGCTTTTAGATAACTTTAACGGATTCCTTTCATGAGCCGAAAATGCAACATTATGACCGTGGGATAATCAACTAGTTCGTCCATACTGGCTCCAGGAGACAGTTGATCGTTGCTGGAGGGGACGGGGTGCACGGTCCTTGTGCCGTGTTAGGCTCGAAGAGCGGTTCCGTGCACTCAGTGTGGAGCGGACTACGGTCCAGACACCGCCTTGTGTGCGTTTGATTCCCCAAATACAGTGTGCTTGTGTTTGCCTGTGAAGGAGTGTGGGCCGGCTCCGTTGATGAAACGTGGCTCCCATCCACATGCCTCCCGGTCTTATTCCTTCGGGTTTGCACTGGATATGGCTTGTGTGGTTGGAGCTGTGGGTGGTGAAGCGCAAGCCACCCATGGTCCCTCTGTAGGCGCAGGCGTCCTGTAGCTGTCCGCAGTGACAGGCAAATCCGAAACCTGATGCCACCAACCATATATATATATATATATATATATATATATATATATATATATATATATATATATATATATATGGGGCCGTGTGCCGTCTGTCGGTAAATACACAAATTTATTCATTTATTTTATATATATAACAACCGGTGCATCACGTTTTTATTTGTCCCCCACGTGTAACTTGGGTCTCTGGCCATTGGTTGTTTTCATTGACATCGCGCGCCTACTAAGCGGACTTCGAACTGTTGGGAGCCTAAAGTATGATGATGGTGCCATGAAGTCTTTCCACAAAGGCCATGAGCTATGTGAGCCGGATTAATGGTTCCGGCCTTTGGGGCCATTGACCACGACCTGAGTGACAGTTAAACGAACACCTTCTCCTGATCGATTGCTAACAACTGTCGGACAAACGAAAAATTTACATTGCAGTCGCTATAGCTCATCAGCCTTCTAGTCTGTAGAGTTTATTGAACCTCGTTTCTATGGGGATGCAAAGGAACTCGAAGGCACCCACTAAGTTTAAAAAGCAGTCAACATTTTATGCCCATGAGGTTGATGCCCGTACTATCATGGAACGCGATTGCTGTGCGATACCAACTCCTGGCGCCGCTTCTTATTTTTCTTGTGCATTTTGTTACGGAAACTCATTCGCGCAGAGGTTCCGCGCAGACAATCATCAGCAGTACGCTACTACGCAATACCGACACTTCGTTGCCAAGTAACTACCACCAGTCGCGAGTAGGCTAAGGATACTGCAAGGTTCGCTTGGTCCCCTACGCAGGCTGGAACCCACAATCTCTGGGTTGCAAAGCAGACGCTTTGCCCTTTTAGCCACGGGCCGGCAGACTCCGTTCCACTTTTTTGCATAATCAATTGCCCCCGTTTACCCAATTTAATACGTCTCAGTACTGCTGTGCTTTCCAGTCTGACCCCGCTCTTTGAGGGTAATACCTACATGATCAACAATAAACCGTTAGGATGTGACGCAGCAGTCTGTTTTTGGCTAACAGTGATGGGAAGATATTGCACACTTTGATAAAAGGTATGACAGGCTGTAATGGACTCTATCGCGGGCCGGGAAAAAGGGGCTATCTTGTCGAAGGTCGTAAAGCCTGAATAGGTCAGAGGACGGTACCAGCGAGAAAGCTCATAACGGTAAGGATGGCCCCACAGCTGATTGCTTTAGTTGTTTACGAACCGGGGAACAGCTGCACGAGTAGCTGCACGCCCTATAACCAGTGTACCAACTCATAATTACCCTACTTCAGATTCCTACGGGATTTTGATATGTTTTACCGAGTTACGGTCCAACTAAGGCAATAACAAGGTGATCTACACTATAAATTGTCATTATCATCATCAGCAACACATTCGTACTTCATATCGGCGTTTCGCTACCATCTGGCTGTAAACTACAATCGATGTCCCTAGTACTTAATGGCAGAGGACTCGTACTTGAAATTACGATATGGAACCTAAGTGCCCTCGTCAGACATTTGGGATCAATGAATCTACATCTGACGAATGCCGCATGGTCTCAAATCGCTGACTCGTATCGATATGTGGTAGAACCGACGAAACCGCTTCATTGCAGCTTCCCACGCCGCGTTTCGTAATCGACTTCATCCCACAGATATTTCCCCACTATACACGCACACACACGCGCACACATGGTCCGATTAGAGGACAACTGCAAATGTCTCACTGATGTCAGCTGTGAGGCGTGTCCTGTAACGTCTTGGGTCAAATGCAAAATGGCTAGTGTAGATACAACTCAATGGATGCAACAGACAAACATCGCTTATTCTATCGATTATTGATTTCATCCTATTTGTCGGGACAATAGTTACTATCCGCAAACCTTATGCCATCCAACGATGGTTAAATAAGGCCAAGCTGCTCACTATAACCGGAAAGATGGTGTACACAAAGCGCATCAGATCCAGCAAAACTTCTATTTCACTTATTGATCTAACTGACTAATCTTGTCATCATTGGTTACGTATTATATTCATGGCAGTCGGATGAGTAGACATAGAGGCATCAGAGGCCATTTTGAGACCATAGAAGATTGTTGCAGTCATAAACAAGGAACTGTATAGGGTACAGAACGATCCATGGTTGTTCCATCGACAGACGCGATACTACCCGGCTGTCCAAAGCGAGGTAGGGATTTTACTTAGTGGACACCCTTCTGAGCCCATTGAAAGACAGTGACTTATTTGTTAATCCATGTTCCCATCCACAGGGCTACAAACTCCATCTTTGTGACAGATAGAAGACATCAGCAGTACGGCGGTACGTCGCACCGACGCTTCATTGCTGTGTGCTCACCACCAGTCTCGCATGGGCTAGGAATACTACGAGGTCCTTCTGAGGCAGACACCTCATTGGCCACCTGCCGACATTGGTGTTACTTGTTACCAACACTGCGGTCGACTAGCTTAAGTGATTCTTTCGGGTTATAATTTAGTATACCGGGACGGGAACCAAACACTGGACCATTTTCAAGGAATTCCGCAAAATGCACACCCCCAACTTACCACAGCCATATGTGCAGCGCTGGAAGACAAACCAACGTCTTCTGAAGGAGACTCGTGTCGGGACGGAGCAACATTCAAATTAGTGGTTCCTCGATAGGCTGTCAGCAGTACGTCTGTGCGCTATGTTGAAACTTCACTATCATTAGACCGCACGAGTTGTATATCGGTCGGGATACTGCGCGGGCTGCTAAGTTCAGTACGCTGGAACGTCGTACCGACGCTTCGCTACCGCGTGATCACTGCCGGTCGCACGCTAGCTAGGAATACTACGACGTCGCCGTAACCTACTCAGTTGCAAACCAGGTGGTCTTCGGATCACAAAACAGACATCTTATCCTTTCTGCCACTGGCCAATGTAAGCACCGGTGAATTTAGTAAATGGCTATTAGGAGAATATTATTGCGGAATATTATTCCGGAAAGAACACTAGCTAAGCAAACTCATCACGACCTGAAGCACTGTTGCTAGACCGAGTCAAGCCCCAACCACCCCGGGATGAGGTAGTACGGCAAGCCAGCATCATTACTGATTAGTAGTGAAGTTGTGTCTTTTCGGTCCCTAAAACTCATGGAGCATTCCTAGTGTATGGAAGTATCAACCTGTCTCCATCGAGCGGGTGAACGGACGAACACTAAGGGTCACTGTGTAGTCTCGTCGCAGTTAGACAGACGGACAGCCACCACACATCCAGGAAAGCACTAGACGGCCGTTTCGTCTTATTGGGACTCGTCAGCAGCGCGCACCCGCCGAATCCTGCTGGATTCGAACCCACGACCTTACTTTTGCGAGTCAGCGACTTATGTCACTGAGCCATGGGCGACGGCAGCGGACCGCCATGACTGATATCTAACTGCAATATAGCGCGGCTCATCCTCCACTGTCTTGCATGTGATGAATGTGCAGAGGACAGGACTTGCCCCCAGAGCAACGATTTCCTTTGCAAGCCGCCGCCAATCGAGGTGGCAAGTATGCTGCAGGACAGTGGAGGATGAGCCACGCTGTATCGCAGTTAGATATCAGTCATGGCGGTCCGCTGCCGTCGCCCATCGCTCAGTGACATAAGTCGCTGACTCGCAAAAGTAAGGTCGTGGGTTCGAATCCAGTGGGATTCGGCGGGTGCGCGCTACTGCCGAGTCCCAGTAGGACGAAACGGCCGTCTAGCGCTTTCCTGGATGTGTGGTGGCTGTCTGCCTGTGTCTAACTGCGACGAATCTACACAAAAACCTAATAAATCCCCTTACTACTTACAACGAATGGTCACTGATTCGTATGTCCCCTTTTACTTCATCGCTAAAGGGACGCCTATATCACCCTACAGAGGTAACGCTCTAGGGGCGACGATGTTCAAAACACCTAAGTTCTTCGAAACCAAAAAGTTGTGCCTAATTTTCCCCAGAAACTTTCACTGCTCTGTTTTTCACATAACCCTTGCAGCATCACGAAGGCAGTTACAGCTTTCGCAGCGCATGTAATACTTTCAGTTTCCAGGTGCCCATCGTTCTCAACATAGGTACCAAGTTTGGCGATTTAATACATTCCATCTTGTTCCTCCCCGTCCAATATCAAGGTGCTGACAATTTGTGGGTTGTCCTGTAACCAAACGCAGTTTGCGTTGCGATTTTCAAACACTAGGACCTCGTCTGCATATCCCGTATTAATCATTTCTCTCCTTTCGGAATCTCAATGCCGCATCGTGCCAACGAGTCCATGTTTTTGTGTGTGGAGCGAATGACCTTTGTACTCTATAGTTGTTCGTTTCGTTGAACTTTTGAACTGACTGCTTCTTGCTTTCAAGGTTGTCAGTCGTCTCTCCACTGCGCCATAGTCATTATTTGCATCAGCCGAAACAACCGGACGTAGTCACATTTTTACTTAGCAAACTGACTATGCCAAAAATACTTTTGTCCTAATCAAAGTCACGATGTTTGAATGCAATCAATTCATTGTTTTTACAGATACTCTGGGTTTTTGCTCCCTTATTTTGTTCACACTTTGTTACGCTCAGGCGCATGCATAAACACTGTCTGCTAGCTGCAATGGACATACATATGTGAACATTTAGGTTATCGTATTGCTGTCATGGTGGTATAGCCACCAAATCCAACGAGCAATCACGTCACACAGCGACGTCTTTGCGATCTCACTTTTAGCAGGGCTTTATGCTGATATCCTGCTCGATTTATGTTCATTTTCACTGTCGTTTTGTTTCGCCTTAGTGTTTCCCTTTAATTCCTGTCCTCTTCCAGTTCTTTGGTCTGTCACGGTTCCATTCTGCCTGAATTGTCCACGAACCCGGAAATGGCATCTCATCCTCTTGGCCACGGCCTCGTTCCTCGCTCTTGGTCGCGGTTCGGTAGTGATCCGCGCACCACGCGCCCTAAAACTCAAAGCCACGATCCGTTAGCATCTGAGCCAGACGGCGTCGGTGTCAGCAGTGGCCCGAGTGGAAAGTAAGCATCTACTCAGTTCTCGATTGTTTCCTTTAACTTGATGCTAAAAATATCACGCTAAGTGGATTTCCGTTTCCAGTTCAACTTGGTCGTGCTTTCTAAATCACCGGTTTAAGAGTGGTCCAGCACAAGCACTCATGTGATGCTTTCATATCTGCGACGTTGTTATTTTGTCCCAACCGTGATTTCTTTGTTGACTCTACTACGAAGTGTAGTAGTGGTTGGTGAACTGAACCACCGTCTGAACTGAAGCTCAGTGGTCATTCATTTAGCGCCAGTTGCATATACCATGGTTCTTAATGCATGGCCGTCATCTCAGTGCTCTCATTCCTCTTGCTCCATCTTTTATTCCTGAGAAGAGCATCGTATCAGTTCACGACGATGTGACAGCATAGTGCCATTACGAACCACTTGTGTCACTGACAGTCCCAACCATGGGGATAGAGCTATTTGTTGTCGGGCGGGTCTGTCGGTTGTGACCAATTTTTCGCTTCATACCATAGGCGCGTTACTATCACACGAAACTTCGCTCTCCCTCCCCTTCACTCATAGCAAACTTTCGCGGCGTTGGTCATCGCGCGCCCGTCAAGATTCTTCATCCTCCGGTACAACTCAGACAAACCATTGTTATGTGCCTCCTGGTAATCCGCTGTCCATTTTCGATTCTCGTGTGAGCACATGGCGTCGGTACGGCCCTATCAGTTCCGGTAGCCTCTCTTCTTCATCTGGGAATTCACCAGTCGATCACTTCGACGGTGATCCTCCGTCTTCTGATCCCATTGTCACCGATCCTCAACAAGCAAGTCGTTCGGGACCCCCTCCAGCGAAGAGTTGCAAACCGTTGGAAGGATTCGATCCAGCTACTTCGACGTCAGCGGAATCAGGCGTTGAAGCAAACGCTGTAAATCAAGACGCTGTCACCGAAGATGTTGAATTGATTATGGATAGAGCGGTGGATAGAGTTGGTCGGCCATTTAGATATCGAATTCGTCAGCCTTGTCATCCTCGCTTGCTTGCTCGTCGCGATATGCTTGCAGCAGTGGCCACCAGTTTTGCTCCTCTGCCTGTTTGGATTTACAGGCAATACGACTTGGTAGGTCTACAGACCTATGCCTTCATGTTGAGCTTTGATGTGACTGCAAAATTTTCAGTGAACACTCCACCGGAATGTCGTTGCATACGGTCTTTTTTGTCGCATAATAGTATGGTATATTTGGATAGTAATCTCACAACTCATTTAAATTCGTGTCTACGCACCTCAGAAACGCTATTAGCCGTGCACATTCGGTGCCTTTACCACCACGTATGCAAACTTGTTACAGACAACCTACCAAGACTTAAATTTCTATAAATCATCTAAGTGTTTGGTCTACCGTGCCTACTCGAATTACTGAGATAAAGTGCTTCCAAACTTTCCATGACGCGGGTATCGAACAATTTGCGCTTACAGATTCCCCTAACCTGGGTTATTTAATTCATATCACAACGTCCAGCGGATCGAGTTTATCTAAATGAGCCTGCGGAGCAAACAATGTACCGACACGTCTAAATGGTTGATCCTGATACTTTGAGACCCGTTCAAACAGGTAAGCTGCACCTCAGTTTGAACCAGCTTGTGGACTCGACTCTCGGTAATTTGCATCGTTGGACTCTCCGGCGAAACTAAAAAGAGCATCAACAGTACGCCGGTATACCGCACCCACGCTTCACTGCCATGCGACCAAAAACAGCGACGCCTTGGCTGAGCATACCTCGAGATCGCCCACATTTACTCGGGTTCGTACCGGCTACCTCGGGATTACAAGGCAGGCATGAAAAAGAGAGAGAAAAAGCATAAGCAGTACGCCGGTCCGCAGTACCGAGGCTTTGCTACCGCGTGACCACCAACAGTCGCGCGTGGGCGAAGGATACTGCGCGGGTTGTCCGGTCCCCTACGCATGCTAGTACCCGCGACCTCCGGATTACAATGTAGGCTTGTGATCCTTTCGGTCACTGATAAAACAATAATTGATGGATCACTTGCATTTGGCCTTGGCAACCTACATCTGTACTTTATTAACTTTATTAATTTTTTGTTTACATCCTCAAGATTGGCTCGAACGCAGTCCTCGACAGCTGAGTACGAATGAGCCTAAATCGCATTACCTGAAGTCTTACCTACAATCATTCTTCATAGGTGAATTCCTGGGTAATGGGAGCATTCTCGCGGGTTTTTGATCTGGTCACGGCAATAAAATATCCATATCAAAGTAGCCGAATTATTTGATGAGATTTCTTCATGGGCCGATGTGATGGGTGATTTGAGCACTAAATACCCATTGATACAACTTGTTGCTCCATGATGCTGTCCCGGGGCAATTGTATACTTTTAGACGCATTTGCCTTTTTTGTTGATCATTGGGCTACATCATAGTTTTGTTATCTTTGTCTCCCACGTTTCGGTAGTCGATGTTGTCACCACATAGTCATGGAGGGACTTTGACGCATTTGAGTGCATGCATGCGGCTAGTCGATTGCACTAGACGTTCCTGCCCCTTATTGAACAGGTTCCCACTAAGATTTTCCGGGATTACTTACATAAATATTTTGCCTGTTATATCCGTCACTACGTGACTAGACCTTAGTTGTAGTACGGTGATTAGCTTATCTCCATGATCCATCGAGCTATACTGGGTGACACTTTCCAAGTGGCTTTCGAGCCACTTATGCTAGAAGGGAAAATAGTTATAAGTCCTACAACTTCAGTTTCAACTCCGTCTTTTCGGTGATTGAGGAGAGGTCGATGTCCCTCTTCCGTCAAGCTTAAAGTGCCGAAGTCAACAGGGCTGTAAGCTCGGCGCGATTGGTGTGGGGCACGAACACCACGACTTGTCTCTGAGGATAGAGTACCATTCTAGTTCGATGGTTCACAGCCACCCGTCTCAAGTCGGATAGCTCATGGTAATTAACGCGTAAGCTGCGGTTTACCATTACCACAGGTGTATACTTTTTGTTAGTTCAACTTCCACAGCTATTTGTGGTCGACCTCAAGTAGTTACAACTTGGATACACTCCCCAGTCAGACGTGCTCCTCACGGTCTTGTTAGTCAGATTGCTTAAGTCTCCGGATGTAGTCTTTCAAGTGATTCTCCATCTATCCCACTGCCATTTGGGCCGGACTGTTAGGTCAAAGGTGAGGCACCTCAAACTAAACCTCTCTCGGAATAGACTGCCGGAGAGTGACATCTTCCCACAGAACATCGTCACCAATAATCGTTTCTTTTATTCTGTTTTTTGCTTCACAAATCTCCTTGTGTTTACTAGCAAGAGATCGCCACCAAATTCATTCTCATTAGGAGGAAAATCGGATCAATTTCGGGTTTTGAAGCACCTGCCGTGTGTCTTGGGATGTGACACGCAATCTCAATAGTGGCTTCGGTTGACTTTGAAGTTAGCCTCTACCAATATACGGTCACTGGGCCCGTCGTGCTTTGCAGGGATCAGGGAACATCGGGTCATTTTCCAAACATATGCCATCATCTCACATTGGGTCTTTCTACTTTCGTTCAGTGTCGGCCTAGGTAACAGGCGAAGCTAACTGCGATTTGACACTTCTTCACGTCTCCAAAGCACACATACAGAGGGACATTTTATTATTATTATTATTATTGTTATACATATTGGCTGCAGGTGAGAAAACACCTCAGCTATTGTGCCGCAGCACAAAAGAAAAGAAGTAATAACACGCAACAGAGACACACCGGCTAACTCATCAGCACCGGATGGACATCGTTCCGGAGAGCTAACAGCCGGCTACTGTGCCGCAAAAAAGGGTACCTTATGTCTAGTAAATGTGGTCTTGTTTGGCGGGGGAGACTAAGCGGGAGGGGCAGAGAAACAACACAAACGCCACTGTGGCCGGCCCCCAGCGATGTCAACAACTGTATCCATCCAAACATGTTCATCCTCTTTCGAACCCCAACCAGGAAGCCGAGAGGCTCCGACCGAGGCCAACTTCCAAGTAAGGGCCTTACTTTTGACCAAGTCATCATTCGACCATTCCTCCTCTTAGGAGGCAACATCATACTTCGTATCCTTACAGTACGCTCGGGTCCCCAAGGGTAGTAGCTGGCCCGTAGCCTTGAGGATCACAAGCCTGCCTTTCAATCTGAGGGCGCGGCTTCGAGTCTGTATAGGGACCTGGCCACCCTCGCAGTATCCTTAGCCCATGTGCGACTGGTGGTGCTTTCTCAACAGTGAAGCGTCGTACTACTTATCGGTGTACTGCTATGCCTAAGGTGTGGGTTGCACACTTCGTATCTCCAATGTCGTCGAATTCACGGCTATCGGTGTTTGGTCTCAGCAAACAAACACAAGCTTGTCCTCTAGGATGAATCCTGGTCAACAAGCGACTGCGTGTTATTCGATTTAAATGTCCCATCATAGTCAGAGGCGTGCTTGCATCCGCTCCTGACTCCAAGTTATTTCATCCTATGCATTTAACTTTTGTCCACCCCTCCTGATTTATTATTGACTGTTAACATTACCAGTATTTCAGCAACGTGAGTCAATGCGAATAGAGATCCACTGCACTTCGGTGGTGCGCCATCACTGTCGCGTTGTAGAGTGGAGTACAATGCAGCGGTATGTTCAGCCCTACTGTACGCATAGTGGCATGTCACGTTCGACCACCGATGCAATCACAGTCCGGCTCACGTTTGGCGGGAACACCGAATGATCGATGCGTGTGTTCGGCGTTGCATATTTGGTGCAGGAAGAGCAAATGAACCGCTCAGAACCGTTATATCACGCACCATGCTTTGTTGGCTGGGCTACATGTTGCATATGCCAACACGCCGGCTCCTGTGGCGTGCGCTGTTCGTGCGACCTAGATATGGATAGAATAAGAGGATGAGACGCCAGCCAATGACTTTTTAAAGAGTAATGAAGGCCCTCACTTCGAAGTCGGCTTCCGTTGGAGCATCTGGACTCCCTGGTTGTAGCCCAAATGACGCTGAACACGTTCGGCTGGGTACACTTATTTACGTGGCGAAAAAACGATTAAAACGGCGTTTGTGTTTTTATTCTTAATGCTTACCATTGTCCGCTTATCATCCTCCTCCTACCACAGACTCTTCCCAAATGCATAATATTAGACAGTGTAATATTTTTATTTTGCTTTGTTTTTTTTCCATCTGCTTGCTTTGTATTTCAGTACTATCGTTGGTGTTTCTCACCTCTAGTTCAAATTTATGATAAATGGTGATCTGAACCATTCTGGGGTCGTGATTGTCTGCAAAACCGGTAGACACTTGCCGTGCAACACGGCTTGATCCAAGCAGTGGGTGTACAAAGTGTGGCTCGTCGTGTCATGCAGAGTGGTTCGAATACCTGCGCATGCACAGGCCTTGACTCTCCTCCCCTGCTTTCACAGTTTTCAGTCCCAGACGGATCTAGGCACCCACATTCGTATCTTTGGTAGGATGGAACATGATCTCCTCTCTACCAAGTCACAAAGGTGCCTGAAATTTGAAACAACATTTCTTGTATTTTAAAACAGGAGAATTGGGGGACGCAAGTTGTCACATGTGACTCGGTCGTTTGGTGCGTCGGTATTAACCACAAACCCATCGCAATAATGATAGAGTTGTGTCAAAACAGTGCCATATGAGATCGATAGAGATGACAAAGCAGTGGGGACACTTTTATCCGGATGCACATGATTTGTATCTCACAAACACTGGAACTCAAGAGAGAGTTTTGCCGTTCGGATACGCTACACAGTTCAACGAAATTATCCGTCTACAGTCTACAACGTGCCTCGCTGACACGAACAAGTGCGGTTGTATGCTACTAGTCTAAGGGAAAGTAGATCATTGATGAACTATGTTTTAAGGGCGACCATCATGTGAAACTCGCCTAGAAACGAGTAAGTGTATCGTTGAGAAGAGCGTATAGTGCAGAACTGCGGTTGCTCGTCGACAAATCCTCTGCACATGCGCTCGATTAGGACACTAATAACGATTACCAGTAAGTAGTAGGGGGTTATTGTGAAGATTCGTCGCAGCTAGACTTGGGCGGATAGCCACCACATATCCAGGACAAAACGATCGTCTAACTCTTTCCTGCATGTGTAGTGGCTGTCTGCTTGAGTCTAGCTGCCACGAATCTTCACAAAACAGTAACAAAGTGGCACTACACATCCTACTGTCCATACAGATTTATCTGTAGCTGTGCAGGCAGCTATGTTGGGCACACTGACCTAGGTTTAGGTGTTGGACTCACCGAACATCTCCCCAAGTAGTTACGCGGCCAGATTGAATTTGTGTATCAACAAGACGTGCGGACTCGGCAGTCACAAAGCACTTGCTGACCACCGGCCACCGAGTCAATCCTCATAAGTTGTTCACCGTTTCGATGTGCGACCAGCGGGCGCCCATTTTCAATTTGTCGGAAACCGTTATCGATCGAGAACGGCCGCAAGTGTGTACGCAGAAACACCTGACCGTGACTCCAAACCTAGCTTGGTAGCGCAAAACGCACCCACCACTTTTCTATCTGCTGATGTCATATGATCCTGTTTTGGTATGTCTATCATTGTTGCGTTTTCGTTATTCTTGAAACTGCCCGAGATGCCTGAGTTCTCCCACAACTTATGTCTCTAAACTTTTTGTTTGGGATGTCTGAAACCTTCTAGTAATCAGCAATGGTATTGCGCTCTCCTGCCATTTATTCGGCACAGGCCGCTCTCCAAGGATAACCGGTATAGCCACAGTCTCTCTTCCCCTGGCCATTCGGGGACCTGCGCTACGTATGCCAATATCCACTAATAAAGCAAGTGTTAAAAAGCAGTCGGGATAGAGAACGAACCACTATGCAAAGTTTGGTCTGATTCTCAATCTCATTGATTGAAGAAGTTGTTTTTACTGTCAAATTCTATTTTGCGATGTCATTAGGCAGTGAATTGAAGGAAATACATAGAGTTGCCAGAATCTCTTCACTCTTCTTAATCCGATCCTCTTTCCTTTTTTTACTCGGGAAAGCATACCTCACAGACGCACCAAAAGTGTGTGGATTGCAGGAGAATTGCAACCTGAGATTGAGCTTACCATTTTTGTCTCTACTCTTCATGTTCTGCTTATACAACCACGCCTACCTCACAGCCATACCAAAAAGTGTGAACTGTGAAGGTAACGCTAGCTGAATCTACCCATTAACGTTTTGATTCGTTCTCCGAGCTGAGTAATTTAATGTCAAACGTTTCACCACTTCCCTCAGTGGCATCTTCAGTGTATAGCTCCGTAGGGGAAATCTCACGGAAAATGTCGTGTGGACGTAGCGTTTGAAAATAGCCTCGTCGATCTGTGTCCCGTGACCTCTGTTTGTTCGATACTTAGCCGTCCAGCTTCACGCTTTCTCAGCTTTAGGTACACGGGATCGAGATCAATGCGGAGCTCCAGGGAATTCTCCGTAGCGAACCATGCCTCTAGGAAATCCCTTCCTTTTCTTGTCCCTCCGTGCGCCAGAATTTCTGTTTTGTCCCAGTTAACACTGTGTCCTTCCTCATCGAGGTGTGCTGAGATCTGTGACGATACATGATGACATCGACACGCACGCTTGTGCTCTTTTATTCTTGTGGATAGTTTTCTCCCTGTTTGACCTACATAGTCTTTGTCACAATTCTCGCATTTTATCCTCTAGATGACATTTTGGTGTTCTTGTGCCTCCAGTCTTTCTTTAGGTCCAGATAATATTCTTTTCAAAGTCCCGGTTGGTATGTGAGCTATCGTCAGGTTGTGCGGTTTGAGGAGTCTCGCTGTCTTTTCCGATATGTTTTTCATGTACGGCAAGGCGATGTGTTTCGTCCTCGTTGGTGCAGGTGTGGTAGTTGTGCTCCTTCGGTTTAGGTGTCTTCGGATGAAATTGCGTGGGTAGCCGTTACGAATGAAAGACCTAAACAGATGTTCTTCTTCCTTACGTTTTGCCTCTGCAGTATTGCAATGCGTTTCTATCCTACGAAACAGGGTCCGTATACAACTTATTTTGTGACACTTAGGGTGATTGCTGTTAAAGTTTAGGATTTGATCGGTGTGTGTTGCTTTTCTGTAAACTGATGTCTGTAATTCGCCTTCTACCGTTCTGGTGACCAGCACATCCAAAAAGGGTAGTTGGTTTTCCACCTCCTCTTCTATGGTGAAACGAATGCCTTCCATTGCATTGTTAAGTAGGTCTTGTGCGGTCTGTAGCTGATTGCGTTTGAGAATCACAAACGTATCGTCAACGTATCGCACCCATAATTTCGGACTAAGGACTGGGAGTATATCCTTTTCCAACCTCTGCATGACGACTTCTGCAATGAGTCCAGATATGGGGGATCCCATTGGGGCTCCTTTAACTTGCTCGTAGAACACTCCGTTGAATTTGAAGTAAGTAGTAAGACATCTTTACTTTTGCCATTCGGTCTTATCTTACTCGTCTAGGCTTCCCACAATGCCCTCATGTAAACATGTCAGGCAGCAAGATAAAGCTAACCGATTCTGCTTCCAACATCTTCATTCCGGTTTCCAATCTTTCGCCTTCATTTTTCCTCTTAACTCGTTTACGCCTAGCGCGTACAGTCAAACCAATACGCCTGGGCCAGTAGACAAGTGCTAACCACGTTCGCCTCGCACACACAGCAACAAACAAATCTCCTATTTTATCTGTCTCGGTTCATATGCACAGTTGCTGAACAGAATTAATGACTACTGCTGTCTTTACTCTTTTTTAAAACTTCACAATGTGTAGAGAATGTTCAACCTAATTCGGATGCTATGTTCAATAAGTATGATTTCAGCATTAATATTTCTCTTCGGACAGGACACCATGAATTATTATTTGTTCATTCAAGACTTTGAACTTTATACCATTATATGTTTAAAACACCATTTTTATTTCTACCTGTACATATTATACGAAACAGTTGTAAAAGTGTGATCATGCCAAAAAGAGCATGCCTCGTAAACCCGAAAATCTACATTGTTATTATTATCATTATTATGCTCATGCTCCCAGCATGCAACATTACTCCAAGTGAAGCGACAGAACTACTATGTGTTTATCTCAGAACACCACGACGAACCTCGCCATTCTCTCGAGCCCGACATGAAGTCGCTCGACCACCTACATGGCTTACTGTCCTTGGTGTTGTAATGTGGCTGAGGCACATTACGGATGCAAGGCCGATGCTTAGCAAGCTACATGCTTGGTCACAGTGAGGATTGCAAACGCAGTAGTGATGTGTCATTGAAATGCAGTGCGCACCCTTAGAACGGTGAAACGATAACATCTGGACGGCAAACGGACGAGAACGTTAAGTGTACCATTGACGATGCTGAGAATTAACTATTGACACACAATACTGCGCTCGGTGTATTCAAAATTTGCCTTGTTCGTGAGTAGTACAAGCATTCATTCCCCATGTAGCATACGATTTATTTGCAAGGATAAGTCGCAAAGAGATGTTCTAAAGTTTCGCAACTATAGTTGACAGGTCCAAGGGAAAAACTATTTTCGTCGTCTCTTTAAATGGCTGTATTCTCCACTTATTTTCTGGTGCCTGCTCCGGAGGTTTGTTTTATGGCTGATGCGGATTACTTAATAATTTATACAGTAATATGAATACGCCGCGTTCTCACAGGTAACGTTCACAGAAACTCCAGTCACCCCAACTTTTGCTTGCACAGAAGGTGGTGCACACGTCCGACCTTTTTCGTTGCCAGATGTTACGGGGTTTTTAGCACCACGAGGTCATGCTTCAGCTGAGATTGCTCTATCTGAATACCATAATCACCTTGATCTTGCGTACAATGACTGAGAATCTAGGGAAGGATGGACAAACTCAAACTTTTGAGCGCCGTTTGCAACCGACCCACTTGTTACTCCTTTTTGCTAACTCAAGCGACTGAGATCATTCCGTATGCGCCCACCGAGGCCGTGTTCATGAGAAGTGGTCTGCAAGTTGTTTGCACCAAACCGGTGGCCAAAAGGACAAGGCGTCCATCATGCAAACCGGCCGTAGTCGCTTCGAGTCTGCTTAGTGGACCGGGCGACACTCAAAGTATTCTTAGCCCGAGCGCGACTGGTGGTGATCGCGTGGCAGCGAAGCGTCGATACGGCGTGTCTGAATAGCTCGACACTTATCCACCTTGTGAGGCCGAAGCAAATTTCGCTGAAACTAAACTTCGAACTGGGAATGACACAACACATCTGCCAATCGACGCGTGTAACGTCACGCCGAACCCCGTCATGCCTGAACTTGATGTCCCTTGGATAGCTAGTAGGTACAAGGACCGTCACATTTATTGACACTGTCTACGCCCCATATGCGACCTTCATTTTGACTATTTCTACTTGCAGAGTACTAACAAGCCCGAAACCGGTCAGCTGGAGTGCAGTGTTGGGACCAGACATTTTTTGACATTTGGCCGCTCCAGCTGCGGTTCCGATGGTTTAACCGACAGAGTTTCATTTCAAGGAAAAATCCCAGTACTAACTGAGATTGTGTGTTGTGGTTCATTCACCTAGCGGGCACTTAAGACAGGGTAAACAAAAACTTTCGAATTCTACATTTTTTTCGCAGAATTACCTGGTAACTGCGATTCAAACAGAATTACTTAGTTGGAACGATACTTGGCAAGTGGATCGCTTCCGCCCCGACTTGGCCGTTCCATTCTCCTACTGGCTTGTCCAAAACCTCCCCATGTCCGGACTCTTAAAGGCCCATATCCTCGGGATCAATCACGTTGTACCGCGACTAAGAGCGCTTTTGGATGTCGTCCGACGCGTAAGTCAACACCTCTTAGTATTTCCTATCATGCTTGCGATTTTTTAGCACTCGGATGAGCGTTCCGCTTATCTTACAAGGCGCCATTGTACACACTTTGATGTTTTAGCATGTTGTATCAGACGGACACCTTTTTAATTCAGTTCAGCGCATTTGACATGGTGTCGGTGAGTGGATTTCCATCAACCGTTACTCAGAGGCTACAAGTAACGGGTTAAGCATTAGATTATGAACCAGATAGTCGATCCCACATCGTCTTCTAGTCTTACTGATGGGTTTTGAGCTCCTCATTAAGCTGATGGAACAATGTCACTGCTAGCAGGTCCCTAGCGAACGTACCCACCGTTCACTATCTTTCCGGATGTGCGTAGTGGCTGTTTGATCGAGTCTAGCCGTTTAGTGAATTCCATTCAGTACATTTAGACATCTTTAATCCAATCACTGAAGTGCCTTATTGTTGACAACAATCGATTATCCGATACAACTATTACAGACCCTTGTCTAGCCGGTTTCTCAAGTCAGAAAGTAACGGCCTTCAGTAAGTCCACAGAGATGGAGCGTTAATTGCTATCAACATGACTGTGGGTAGACAGTTGAGCAGGCGGCATTAACAGTTGTTCTTTACTTGAGAAATTCTAGTCGCATCAGCACAATCACAGCACAACAAATACCGATGAGAGAGGGGGCGCAACTTTGCGAGCAAAATGCACTGGGCAACAAACGATGGGAAAACGGGGGGAAGACCGGCAACTAGAAATGTATAGGATTGATTACGAAACAATCACTGTATGTTTCGTTCACAGACGACCTAAAAAGTAATCGATGCTCCGGACGACTGCGACCTACTCTAGCATGACTTCGACCGCCTGTAGATGTCGACCTGCCGGCCATCCAAACCATGTTGTTATTTATGAGCCCGGGGAAGGTTAGTGCTGGACGTACATACACTCCGGCCAGCAAATCGCTACTTCCCACATTTTTCGTGAAGAATCTAGGCATACTCTCATGCTGCAATTTGCAGTCCGCGGACAATACGAACAAACTATATGAAAACATCCTAGGCATGCTTTGGGCACGGCTTACTCCCCTATTGTCTTATCACCCTTGGCAAGGTACACTAACTGGAACGTGTTCAACATGTGGCTACCCAGGCTCATCCTCAATTTACGCGGATGTCGTACGGAGATCGATACAGGGGCTGTACACTCTGTCGTATTGTCGGTTTCATGTGCACCTCATAATGCCGTATCGGGTTGACTTCCCCATGCTGAGGCGGCTTACTCACGTGAGCGCATCACACAGCACTCGCGGACATTGGTAAAAGCTTGTTCTACCATATCTGAAGCGGATAGCTCGTCCTCTATACTTCAAACGTCAAATGGTGCAATATGGGGACAATTGGTCAGAGCTATAATAATCAAGTCACAATCGGTGTCAGAATTCAAGCATTTCCGAGATACCCACTTTTCGGACAACAGATTTTGTGAGTGAACCGTGTCTGAATAAGGCACCGCACAGCCGAACTGCGTTGAGAGTCGCGGTAATGAATAACGTTATTCCGCGTGCGTTCCAGACGTCATACCGATGGAACGACCGAAATTGGTTCAGAATGCATGGTTAAATTCACGACAGCATCGTGTCGCATGAGACATTCCGCCTGTTGTAACTTCCTCCGTTATCACCGCTTCTTAGTCGGTGAGAAAGATTCTGCCCTTGGGAACTGCGCCCTGCGCGGTACTAAGTAGCTAATCAAATTCGGATTGATATGTTCCGTGCGAGACTTAGTCGCCAGACGTTTACTTCCTCGCTGTACCGGGATGGAAAGAGACCCAGCACGAATAATCGCGACGTCTAAAGAGAAACGAGATAGAGACCTTTGGCAAAATCGTTTTTACAGACACACGAACTGTACGCAGTAGTATTGCCAGCATGATTAATCTAATCAGAAAATAACCTCAACATTATCTGATCATGGTAAACGAAGGTGATTATCCTGTTGATGTACTTGCAATTCGATGACTTAGAAGATGACACAGTCGATGATCTGGTAGTAGTGTCTCTGAGAGAGAACGAAAGCGCTTGTCATCTGTTAGCCTTGTCACCGACAATTTATTGCACAACCATTCATTGGCAACATTATGGAGGTCTATGAGATCGGAAAAATACTCCTGATGCGATGATGTCTTCGTGGAATCATGAAGATACTGAGTACTAAAATTAAGGAGCTAGTGGATACACATGTGTCGATATATTATCGAGCGCACTGACGGTATAAATTCATTTATTGCCGGGCTCTACAACGCCGGTTGAATGGACGGCTGCACTGTAAACTCTGCCCTTCAAAACGAGCTTGATGTCACGTGGGCGCAGATGGTCAACACACATCGAGCTTTTGCTATACGGTTAGTGAGCTCATCTTCGCTTCCACGGGTACTACTATAGCTGTCTAGGTACTTGTATTCCTGAACCACTTTTAGCTGATCACTGCCAAGGGTCTGCGCAGAGTGGATCCCTGCCAGTCTTGGAGAAGGACTTTGCGTTTCGAGGGAACAAAGCAAATCCTAAAACGCTTGACAGCCTGTGCTAATCCGTCCAGTGCTGCTTTGTGCACGTTTCGGACCTTTCATAGATTAGGGCAGTGTCGTCAGCATACTCCAAGTCATGAAGTCGCTTATGAGAAAATAGCTCCACACTTTGAAGGTCGTATCCAGCGAATGCTGTTTCCATGACTTCGTTAATGACGAAGATAAAGAGGAAAGGTGACAGCGGACAACCTTGTTTCACTCTGCTTGATATATTGAAGGGTGGCAACATTTTTCCATAAATCCTCATTCTACCCGAAATATACGCATACAGCACTCTTATGACATTTACATATTTCTCAGTCACACATTTCCTGAGCAGACCGTCCCACAGAGCACAACGGATCGAGCACCAGCTAGAAGGCATCTTTGATGTCGAGAAACATGACTATGGTGGGTCGCCAACTAATATGGCGATGCTCCAACAATTGACGCAAAATGAAGCTATGGTCGATGCGGCCTCTATCTCGACGAAACCCGGCTTGCTCCTCGCGAATCTGACTTTCACGAGTGCCACTCAGTCTGTGGAGAACAACAGACGCGAGCAATTTAGTGACAAACCGGGAGGGGGGTGTTTCAGCATTGGACTCACCGGGCATAATCGACGCTGGGTGGATACCAGCGTTCTGATGTCCTATACATTCAGCGACCAAGTCTGTGGCTCACACTACAACTCTGATCGCACTGTAGTGTTTTACCTTACCTAGTATTGGTGTCCTGATTAGATTGGAAGCTTCAGGGGATCAGCCCAGTCGTGGCAAACAATAACAAAGAAGGGGAAACTAAAGATTTAGCGAAAGAAACTAGTAGTAAAAATAATAACAAACGACGTATTTCTATGCAGTGAGAGAGACACTTCGATGCCTAGCATGATAAAATTTTGCGACTGGATCGCACATAAGTGTTTGAGTCTCATAAACAAGGCAGTCCTCAAAGTTTTTCAGGTTTATCCATCAGCTGCATGCGTTCGAAATGCATAGCAATTGCTATTGAAACTAATATCACTGAACTCTGGGTGTTGCTAGATTTTTCCGAATTATTGCCTCCACGAAATAAGAAGGAATGCTTGACATTCGTGATACCTTTTCCTCGGATATTGGTCGTCCCGAGGCCTAAAGAATCACAAGCCTGCTTTGTAATCCGAGGGCACAGGTCCGAGTCTATGTAGAGACCGGGCGACCCTCGCAGTTCCTCAACCCACGTGCGACTAGTGGTGGTTGTGCGGCAGCGAAGCGTCGGTATTGCGCACAGGCTTACTGTTGATACCTTTATTCTTTTGCCTCTCAGGTATTGACGCGAGAAAACACCACAGCGTCCATGAAACTGGGCTTTGGGATGCTATCGCACCAAGATGCACAACGCGACACGGTAACCTCTTGACTTTTGTGAATACTTTAGCCACATGGAGTGACCACGATAGTAACTCATGCCACGATGCGATTCCCGAGTACTCCACCGACATGGGTGCATGTAAACTCATCTGACGGCCTTGTGGGTGAGAAGTCGCCGCTAGTGATCTCATTCTTGCAGTGAGAAAAGGATCTCATCATGCAATTTGATGCATTCAGCGGCAAGAATCGACGTCTGACTTTAAGTTTGCCTGAAGATACCGTGATAAACTGGTTGGCATTTATTAATCATGTCATCTGCATATTACCTGAACGGATTTGGGCTAAGTAGAATCTAGGAACGATAACGCGTTACCCCTATGAGGAGCGTCGGTGTTCGTTCTGAACTTGAAAGAGCTTTTACTATAAAGAAAAGTCAACTACATGCATTTAGGAACATGATCCCTCATTAGGACGAATACGAAATGTTGAATTCCATGGTCGATCGAACCACCTAATACAGTGAAACCGAAGTTGATCGGTTTTTCCCCTTGTTTGAACCTTCCCTACGTAAACGTTAAGGAACCGAGCCTCTCTATGTTAACCATTGGTCCAGTCTCTTGAATGTTCAAATTACGGAGGTTTTACTGTATCTTCGTAAACATCGTAATTTTTTCACGCTTCGTTCTCCATACCCCACAGTCCGCTGCCTGCGTTTGCGTGTACTGCGATTGGAACATCACATCCAACCGGTTCATCATCTGCTTAGCTCAAGAAGGCAGCTTCCAGACCTACGTCAATCCATCCGGAGTGCTTCACGACATTGTCACGGTCAGTCAAGTCCTCCCGAACTCGGTCACCTTAGTGGGGCCTGCATCCGAGGAGTACTCTTGGTTTCCTGGGTACGTCCACTGGGATTTTGTCTCGCCTCTGTGTGGCGAGTGCATCTCGCGGAAAACAAATTTTCGACGTTAATCGCCCCCACTTGCACTACATTCCGCGTTCGGATTGTCTCTGTTTTTAGTTCCCAAATTGACTTGTTCTGAACCGTGAATAGTATGGAACACCAAGATGCTTACTGGCAACAGCGGGATCTATGATTAAATAACTAAATAAAAGCTTCAGTTCAAACGGGGATGAAATTAGCCTTGGGTCGCGCGGGGCTGGGAGCAAGCATTACGGAAAGCTCCCTCCTGCGGTTTCGGCCCTAGCGATCGGAACGAGCCAGGTTTGCAACAAAATCAATCGCGTTTTTGCTACTGTGCACTGTTTTGTGGGAGCAAGTAGAAATTCAAATCTGTACAACTTCTTCGAAAATGTTAGACGACAAACGCTTTCTATGGCCTGCTAACACTGGTGGATGGTTTTTCAAGTTCTCACATCCTACTGTGAAAAAAAGGTAAAACTCACAGGAACTTGAGACTCACAAATGTGAGATATCATAGTTAGTTGGTAATGGTTCTCGGAATCCGACACTGAAGACATATACATCTAACAATCGTTTTGAACTGCTGCTATGAGTTTGCTGTTCCAAACATTGACCACTCGCCGTTCAAAGCTCAGGTGGTGGGGAGTAGTTTCGGTTCTGGCACCGGTGTGTCTGTGTGCTGTAGAATGCTCTCAAATGCAGCAGTGGCTTCACCATTTGTAAGTCACTTAGATGTAGAATGCTGTAGGTCATGATAACGTCGATTCTCACCCGACGATAGAGAATGGTGTACAGCCCCAGTCTCTCGCACCTGAGACTGCGTGGGTACTCCGTAGTACTCCCTCCAAAAATCACCATCGCCGGCGCTGTCATGTGCTCCAGGCCGGCCACTTCGGCGTGCATTGTTTCACAGCCCCGTGCTTAGCTGGTTGGGACCTCGAAGTGGCCGACCAGTGACACGACAGAAAAGTACGAATCGGTCGATGCACCAGAAACCTGAGTCTGCTTGGCACTTTTCGTCCTTCTAAATGGCGCCTCGAGGATCGTTCACACTAGTGGTTAGTTACGTTGCCGGGTATGACGTGATTGGGAAGTCAATGGGGCTGTTGCATTCGTCCTTATTTCTAATGATATTGATTCTTATCCATTCCTTCTGTGTTATTAGTATTATTACGACTATATTCGCGACGTTTATTGATAAAGCTGCATCCACAGCATCTCGATGCACAAGGTTCATAGCCGATAACCTGAACCGAACTGTTCTCGTTATAACGCCAACCATCACCTTTTACTGATCGCTTCCTTTTTACTGTTGAATTTGCAGCTACAGTTGGACAATTGCCAATTGTTCGAACTGCTCACATCATCTCGGATGGCTGTTCAACGCAGTCAAGGAGAACTTGCGCCCCGTTCGATTCTGGGGGATACGGCGCCAAGCGGTTGTCCCAGGCTTAATAAATTCCCCCGACTGGCGTCCATGCATATGAAATCGCGGTCTGAACAATTTCTTCTAGTCATCTCCGCGGACTTTAAACGGTCTTCCACCTCAGTCATGTGGTGGTCATCTTTATTCTTCACATGCGTTTTTTCGCTCCATCCTGTGAAATCCGCGATCATTTAGCTTGTAATTTCTGGAAACCGTAGTTGTATATATGATCATTTTGCTCCAGGACAATCATCACTGCTGCTGTTCTCCACTCTGCGGTACTCCCATGCAATCATCATCATCATCATTGTTTTCATCCGATGCAAACTTGCCATCCCAAAAATACACTGATCAGCTCAAACTGTTGTTCACAGTCGTGGCTTCGGGGGGATCCTTGCGACAATCGGTATCGGGATTACTTTTTGTGTCGCTAATAGTGGTGACCGACCAGAACACCACCCTTATGATAAACCCTCTTCTGAGTTTGACCCAATTACGCCGGATGCGTCGCTTTCTGTCCATGTTTACTCATTCGCTGTGTCTTAGCATTTACATCTGGATGCAAACATAAGGCGGTCAGCCGGTGTCACGGCAAATTCATTAACCGATTGGACTGAGAGGCTTGGTCGGGCTTGTGTCTGTCTATGAATTGAGACCTCCGGATCAGTTGCATTAAAGTTTTTAAACCTTTACTGACTCGGCTCATGTGGTTGTTATAATTGATGGAACGCCGCCTCTTGATATGGATTGCGTAATTGCCCGATAAGTTTGTCGCTGGCACGGTTGGAACACGCCTACGACGACGACTTGTAACGCTGGCCACTCGAACGGATTTGCGCTGACCTGATGACGCTAGCTTAGCCGTGAGACGGAAAATTGAGCGAGCGTGTGAACGATCCTAGCCGCACGTGTTCGGATAGACGCTGAGCCCTCGGAACGGACGCACACAAGAGGGGGTTACGATGGACGCGCGCCAATGACTTAGACGCGAAGGCTGGCCAGCTGACGACTCACACGCAATCACGTGACCCAACCGACTCCCAAGTAAGGCGAAGAGGAAAGAAAAGGCAAGTGGTCCTCTGTAGGTTCTTCTACTACCAACAAAGGGCGTTCACAGCCAATGCACTGGGTTATTAAGTTTGGAAAAATAGTCACCACGAAGAGGTGGTAGTTTGCAAATGAGCATTGTCGAAAGGTGCGCAGTTGGGCCGCGTCTCGGAGTGGCTGAGCTCTGCTGCATTGTGGGGAGGAATTGGACTCCGCTTCCCACAGCCATTCTGTTGGGGTTTCTGGCGCGTTTTTGCGGGGAATTCTGACGGGCTCGCAACAGTGGTAATGAGAGTCATTTCAACAGGACTCATCTTGCTTATCAAGTCACAGTTGTTCAACTGAGCTTTGGGTAGGGAACGACGTTGATTACATTGATAGGCTAGCGGATTGTGGTTGGCATGAAACGAGGTTTATATTTCATAATGCTTGGACCCAATCGACGTGACAGTTGCCAATCCGTTTCATTGTTCTCACCCCACTACGTGCAAGTCTGCACCAGATCCCAGACGTACAAGATTACCTAGAAACGCACGCAGCGTCTGGTGTATGATGCTAACACGCACATAGTCGGCTACGAGCAGTGGGATGGCTTGGCAATCATCACAATCGATGAGATGGCACGCTATACCGTTTCTTAACTGATTACGTCATCATTGCGATCGCTTTTATCTGTGAGGCAGCAGATTTCATCCGTTGACGTAGGAAACACCCCGATGACCATCGAAGTTACATCCGACATCACAGTGAGTGGCTAACCACTGTCAGCGAAAAGCACTCAGGTGATATGCTAGCATGGATATCGAACTTAGCTCCACCAGTGGCGCAGACTAATCGCGCTTTGAGGAGCGGGGGTTAACAGCAGTTGGTTACACTGAGGCCA